AAGGATTCTGGCTATGTTTGATGACTACCTTATATCTCAAAAAGTGTCATTTGTGAAAGCTCTGCATGCATTGGGAATGCAAAACATGAAAATATCAGACAGGATTATTATTGGTGAGTAATTGATTTGGTAAGAATGAAATGCTAAAATGACAACGTGCAACGTACTTCCATATTACATGTGGACTGGGTACTTGCTTATACATAGCAGATGTGTTCATCATCTTTGCATGCTCTGCAATGTATGGCTGAGATTCATTTAAAGACAATGAAAACTCAGAATTATGAACACCTAAAGAATGGGGGTTGTGAACAAAACGTTATGGTTGTTCTTCCAAAAGTTCACATAAATCCGTATCTAGTCTCTTCCACAGTCTCTTGTGCACTAGATGGTCTGGCATTGTTTCTTAAGTTGACTTGTACTGGATCATCTTTCAAAAGTCATAATCAGATCCTCCAAGTTCTTTCACATTTCTCGCAAGGCCCATTATGCCTGTCACACTGCAGTTGAGAAGGTTGTTGGCCTTTGAGCCTTTGATCACATGCACTGTGAATTTATAGCTTTAGTCTTTGTATATTGCTTGGTGAACTGGGCCAAGAATTCCTAATACCTCCAGGAAGAATAAGATGTGTTATATTACATCACGTCTGGGAAGAGTTGAAGGTGATTGTAAGTCCTTTGTGAGAGGATTGCTTCATATGGCATCAGCTCCTGAATAAATTGTAAAGTTAATAGTCTTGCCATGTTCAATTTAACTCTCCAGGCAGGCTGTTATCACAAGTGATAGATCCCAGAAACAATGGCTTTTGACTTTGTGTCATATAAATCAAATCCCTGACTGCTTTGGTGCAGCAAACATATGCAAAGTGTCCACAGTTCATGCATGTATTACATCATGCACCTTTGGCTGGACATGCCTTACCTCTTGGGATATGACTTTTTTATACATTGTACATGTAGGATGAATTTGTCTCTGGTTAGACGGGGAGTTCTTTCTCCTTGCCTCAGGTGATTGATAATGACTCTTAGCACCAATAGTGCATCTATTAGCAGTTTTCCTAAGATAGTTTCTTATTTTTTCAAGTTTGAGTTGTTCTTGGTTTTCCTATCTTACCAGTCTGCTTCAGGTTCACATATCAGCTAATGAAATGAAATCAATGAGCATAGTTTATTATTTACCGAATTCTGACTGCTGCTTCCTACAGCACAAAGATGCTTGCTTAGACATCTCAAGTCCATTAATTCCATTTTCCAATAGCCATTGTCCACAATAGTAAAGAATAGGACATCTAGAAAGTTCTTAAATAACTTGACATTACTGATGGGATTATTCTTATAACAACTTATTATATTCTGTATTTCTACTCTTTAGGGTGAAGGAAATTGCCCACTTTTACTCTTTTCAAAGGAAAGTGGTGGTAACTACTAACTTTAGTTTTTTAAGCCTTTGTAAGTAAACAAAAACAAATGGTGTCTGGGGAGCTAAACTATATTTACACTGTGGGATTTAACTAGTGCTTCTGAAATACTGCTGAACATAGATTGTCCTTTTATTTAAACAATGTTCAGGACCAGTTTGGCTGCAATTGTTATTGTCACTAAAAGTATTTCATGTGAGAGAAGTGTGCTTGCCGGTAAAACATCCATGACCAATAATAAAAGGTTATTCAGCTATAGCAGAAGAAGTTGGAGGAGGATGAATTTCTTTTTCTGATACAGATCAAACAAACAAATAAAGGATTGCATCATAAATTTTAAAACATCGATACTGGGATTTTGTGGGGCATGGGGATTCAAAATTGATCAATTTTTCTGTGAAAAATGCCAATAATTTTAACTGAAATTTAATAAATTGTATTTATTTTGTTTTTGAAAACATCATTGTAATTTTCCTTTTCTGGAAATCCAGAGTGTTAGTGAAAAAATATCTCAAGTAATTTTGATCAAAATGTCAAACTATTTCAAGAAAAAAAATGAAATTTTCAATCATGTCAACAATTTTTCACATAAAGGTTAATTATGGAGAAAAGACAACTTTTAATCGTAAAAGATTTCATAAAAATATTCAGCAAAGCTAATCAGAATTTGATTCCTCTCCCTTAGACATATTTGAATGAATGAAACTACATTCAGTAAATGTAAATAAAGATTTAATTAAATAAATTACCAGTGCAAAGCATGAATTACACTTTGCATTGGAGCACCTTGCACCAATCCAAGTAGCTACATCATTTTAGTCTTTGCTCTGTGTGATTCAAACTGCATGGTTTCCCTCTGGGTTACATTTTGGTGTTTCTTTTACTGTACCGGTTACAGTTTGTTATTCCAAGGGAATAACTGCAGATTTAGTACCTCTAGATAGGAGTGGGCAACCTTTTTTGGGCTGGGGGCCATTGACCCCCAGAAAATTCAATCAAGGGCCACACACAAGTGATAAGCAAAGTGAAAAGCCCTTGACTGAGAAGGAGAAAGACACTCTCCACGTTCCCTTCTCACACCAGAGCCTGGGGGCCTCAGGCTAGTAGATTTTGTGTGCTCCAGTCTCAATTTGGAGGTGATCCTTAAGCCTCAGGGACCAGATCCAGGCAAGCTAGGGGCCACATCCAGCCCCCGGGCCTGAGGTTACCCAGCGGCGGATTTAGGGCAGGGTGAGCGAGGCGGCTGCCCCAAGCCCCGCACTTCCCGAGGCCCCACGCATGTGCCGTGTCAAAGGTGGGCCCCCACGAAATTTCGCTGCCTGGGGCCCTGCGGTGTTGCCCTGGGCCCCGTGGCACTCTCATCCGCCCCTGAGGTTACCCATCCCTGCTTTAGATGTTTGGCTTCAGCATAACAGGGTTCACTCACCCATAGGGTGCCTCCTCCTACTCGCTATGGGGATTAGCTCCCCAAGTTGGGCAGTCCCTCCCATCACTCATGCCATAGTCCCTCTTTTTCTTTCTGGATGTTGCCTACTCCCACTTCTTGACTTGCTTTTCATGATTTGACCCTCCAACCGGGTCACCATAATCCTCCCTCTCTTCCAGGTAGGGGGGTTACCTTATTTTGTTATGGTGAATACGGGACACCTGGTAAAACTGCTCAAATTCAAGCAAATGTAATGGCAATCAATCAGAACAATGTGGTATCCCCCCCTAAAAAAAATCTATAAAAACTCCCAGGTCTAGTGAGAAAAAGGAGGTTATAGGGGTCTGGCCTAAGGGGGAAGGGGCAGGGCTCAGGTATAGAACTAGTCAGGTTGACACTGGGACCAGAAGTCTCACCTCTTTCCCCAATGGATACTGATTGGGGACTTAACGGGGCAAGGGGTCCCATGCTGGCAACAGAGGTCATGCCCGCCCCCCAGGCTCACTGGAGGAGGCACCCCAGCATAGTCTACTCACTTGGCCATATTACTCTGCTTCCTGCCAGTGACTGTGGGGGCGGTCCACCCTCTCCCCCAAAGCACTGCTCCAGGAAAGCAGAGCAAGCTGGGGCTGTGTTGTTCTGCTTCCCCTGCTTCAGCTAGTGAGTACAGAGGCAGGGATGGACCTCTGTTACTGGTGCTAGCCTCTCCCCCTGCTACTGCCAACAGATGCCCAGAGACTCTGGGCCCACCAGCTGCTGGCTGGCCCCTTGACCATCTTGTCCATGATTGGGGGACATGTGCCCTCTCTTGCCACCCCACACATCACCTACCAGGTGATTGTAGGATCTGATTGTGAGGTGCTCAGAGATCTGAGGTGGTTGGGACACATAAGTCCCAGACCAATGGGATCTAAGGTCCATTCAGCTTATAACCCTTTCTCTACCTCGTGTAGTATTACTTCTGTTTTGGGAGCAGGGGGCAGCATGTTCAAGCCAGTTCCATATGGTAGGTCTGAGTAGACAGTGCCACCTCCACCCTGATTCACCGCAGCAAGCCACCCTCCCTGTCTTGGTTGTGGCATGGGGAAAATCAACCAAAAATTATGTCTCAAAATGGAAGCTCAGCTCAAAAAGTTAGAAAACAGAGAGGGTAGCTCAGTGTGTGGAAAGAGAAGTAGCTTGGGGTTATGGGGTGGATGGGTGGTCTAAAAGGGCTGGCAAATACCCTCCTTGAGAAACCTTGCTTTAGGATGCACATGGGAAGGGGTGATACACACACCTCTCATTCATCCCCATATACCTTACCTCTCTATAACACACAGGGCTGCCCCGCCTCCTACTGACTTTCTGCCTCTGAACCCTTCCTGAGAGCACCATTTGCTGGCCACCAGCTACCCACATTCACCTGCCAGCTACAAACAGTAGGCTGCTGCAGCTGCGATGACTGCTGACTGACCAGCAGGGAGAGCACCAGAGCAGAAAATACAGGACAATTTGCCCGTTTTTTAAAACAAGATGGGACACCTGCAAGAGGGCTTAAATAAGTAAATAAGTACCATATAAAGTGAGGATGTTTTTTACCCAGGAGTTGGGACCACTCTGCAAGGTGTGTTGGAAGCAAGCTTTCAGACCAGTCCCCATTTTGAATGGGATATTGTAAGGAAAATTAAGCTTTTCAGATTGGACACCTTGCAAAGGACTCTGTACCAGACTAAATTAATTCTCTAACTCCATGATTCGATATGATAATTGCTGGACAAGGCAACAGCATTTATGACTTTCTGTCATAGTCCTTAAAAAGGAACCAATGACCTGCAGCATTTGAAGAGTATCTAGGCTGCCTCGATCCAACAGCAAAGATTGCCTGTTAACACACAACCCTTTGTCACTTCAGCACTCACCATCCGATCCAGAAAACTTATTCTAAAGAGTCCCAAGAGCTGGACTGGAACCATCGATGACACAGGGGAGGGAAAGTGCTGGGGGGAGGGATCTAACTGGGCTAGTTACACACTAGTAATGCACATGGACTTCACCACCATGTCTACAAGGGCCCTGCAGCACCACAGGCACCTGTTCACAGCTATCACAAACGTTCAGACACAGACTCAGGCACACCCACAGCCCTTCCTCCATTCCCATAGACAGCTGACCACTCACACGCAGGTGGCGGTGTCCCAGGAATGGCCCGGAGTAAGCGCCACCGCCAGAGTATGCCCGGACCGTGGATTGCAACGTGCCGGGCCTAAGAAACTTGCCCGAGGACTGGGGTCTGCTGGAAACGCTTTGGATCCCGCAGACTCTCCGCGCCTCTCCCCCCGCCTGCAAACAGACGCGGTACCCTTGTGCAGCGCGGCTGGGGCTGCGGATTTCCCGCCCGTTCGGCTCACCCCGCGGCAGAGCGGCCGCCTGGGCTCGCCTAGCGGTGCCTGCCAGCCCTGAAGGGGGCCGTGCCTTGTGCGCTCTGCAGCCCGCGGGCGGGGTGCGCGCTGCTCAGCCACCCACTCCCGCCGCCAGCCGGAGCTGTGCACACGGCTGGGCGGCACAGCGGCGCTCGGGGGAGCTGGCGCTGCCTCCTCTAGCTCCTCTCGGTCCTCCAGAGCTGGCAACCAGGGGCCCGAACCGGCGTCGCGCCGCTCCCCTCAGCTCCTGCAGAGGGCACGGCAGAGAGGAGGCTCCCCGGGGCCGGGGGAGGAGCAGCAGCCGCGGAGCCGTCGCCCCGCTCCCAGGCAGCCGGCCGGCGGCATGAACCCCTGCGATGCCAAGGAGTATCTGGCCCGGAGGGAGATCCCGCAGCTCTTCGAGGTAAGCGCCGAGGCGCGGTGCCCCGCGGGCTGAGCCCGAGCAGGGGCAAATTCCGGGGCCAACCCGCCCGGCCCGCGGGATCCAGCACCGTCTGAGCCCGGCCATAGGGCGGCAAGGGGCCCCCGGACTGGGGGCAGGGGGGGGCGG